CCTCTGGTGAGGCATATAAAACAGGATGTTACGGCATAAAAAGTTACGGGCAGGTACATACTGGACTATAGAGACTTTTACCTCGAGAGAGCAGCATAATTCATAATTCGCACCAGTGCGAACTTAATTCTCTACCAACGTCATTGTTCATGCATTGGTTTCATTGAATCGGCAAGGCTTCATTTACTTTTTGATTTAGAAAGTTTCTCTCTAGGTGTATTCCTATCATTTGATCCCACAATACGCAGTGTCATTCTTGTACTCCATGTTCCAGTAGAAGAGTTATTTCCTCATTCTGCTTCACCACTTGCAGATCTTTCGCTTGTTCTCGCCCTTCACCTTTCTGTTTTTGTCCATTCTAATGCAGACATTTAAAAAATGCAACATTCATAGGGACCATATAAATTCTTATGATCATGCTATTCTTAAAAACTGAACTATTTTGATCACCACAATTCTGCCATATTTAATAATTTTTTTAACTGTTTAAACTATTTTGTAAACGTGTGGTCGATAGAATGCAACGACAAGACACAGCGCCGTTCTATATCATGTCAATATGCAGCGGCCTAAGCAAGAACCCCTCTTTAGCATGTTCATGAAAACCGCAAAAAACCTACAGAGTCAGCTCCTCATGCAAATGTATTAAAGACGAAAGCTTTAACAAAATTCAGATGGAAAGGATCAGAAAGTGATTAGGGGCGCTTAAGGAAATATTTAATCGAAATTGAGGTCACTGATCGAACCTCCTCTCTAAACATGTTCAGGCGTATTGTCGATGAGGCATAATATCGCTAACCACAGAATGTCCGCAGCACCGCAGCTGTGCAAGCAAACTGCCGCACTTACATGAAACATTATGAAAGCTATGAATTTGAAATAAGCTTGAAAAAAGGCTCGACAGATGCGTGGAGCAAACTTTGCCCGAACAGAAAGTGTCTCACTGGAAGTACGATGTTGACAAAATGTCGAGCAGCTCAGGCGCAACAAGTACTTTCAACAACAGAGCAAAGAAGCGCGTAAAAACGATAATAGAAAAATATAAGTATGCATTCAAAATCGCAAAATGTGTG